AAGCTGAGTATATGGCTCTAACTTCTGCAGCTAAGGAGTCTATTTGGCTCAAAGGCCTAGTAGGTGAACTGGGTATTGCACAGGATTTTGCTACAGTGTATTGTGATAGTCTAAGTGCGATTTGCTTAGCTAAAGATCAAGTACACCATGATCGGACGAAGCACATTGATGTCAGGTATCATTTCTTACGTACTGACAAGAGGATTAAGGTGAAGAAGATTGGGACTGCTGACAACCCGGCTGATTTCTTCACTAAGCCTGTTCCGTTTAGCAAGTTTAAACATTGCTTAGACTTGCTAAATATTGATTACTACGTGATGTAGTAGGCCCTGAGGGGCGAAGTTGGGGAGCTCCTGGTGTAGGTGTGTTGGCATTAAGGTGGAGCTTGCCCGGGGCTTGTGATGCAGGTGGAGCATTATGAGTTGTTATACTTGGAGACGAGTATGTGATGGGTCTTGGTTGAAGACTTATCGGGATGTATGGCTTATGCATGAGTCCTGCATCGGGTTTGGCTTGAGATGTTTTTTCACTATGTCTTGATGGGGTCGTTTGCTGACTACGAGTTCTCGTCAAGGTGGAGATTGTTGATAAGTATATTAGGTGACTCGTACTTCGTAGCTTTGTCCGCCCGATCGGGCGGACATTGCCCGGTCTGACCGGGCGGAAGAAGAAGAGGTGCCTGGCAAATTCGTTGAAGAAGCTGCTCTCGCGCCCGACCGGGCGAGCCTTCGCCCGACCGGGCGAGCCTTCGCCCGATCGGGCAGACCTTGCCCGGTCTGACCGGGCGGTGGGGGTTGGATACGTTGAAGCATTCGTATGGAGTTTTCTTCTCGCGCCCGATCGGGCAGACCTTGCCCGGTCTGACCGGGCGGAGAAGGAAAAATGCGGAGACGCGGATTTTACGATTTAAAGTTATCTTTTATGTTATCTTTTTGCCCAAGTATCTTTTATTTTAGGGATTAATATAAAACCTCCCTAATATCAGTATTAGGGTTAAGAGAGACAGAGTGAGAGCCGTTCTTGAGAAATACAAGAATCATCTTTGTCTACATTGCAGTTTATAGTGAAATCATTCGATCTCGGTGCCCGTGGACGTAGCTATCACATCGATAGTGAACCACGTAAATTCTTGGTGTTGTTCTTATTGTTTGCATTGAATTTCTTTATTGTTTTCTTGTTTGTTTTCGACCTTTGCTTCCGCTGTCGCACAACAGGATTACAGTAAACTGGCTTTGGCTGCCATCCACTGTGGTCATTTCCATGGTAAGGAGGATGCAGGAATTGTTTTCCATAGTCGCGATCCTGAAGCAGAGGTACCCTTGCTTGATAAGGGAGTGGATTTTCGGCATTTCCCTGTGCTTCTTTCATTGCTTGCTCCATCTCCCTCTCTTTCCTGTGTACTCTTAAGTCGGGAATTTCAGGTAACAGTATTTGCAGACTATGGGATATTGACTTGAAGGTGGAGAGGCAGGCAAAACAAAACCAGAGAGGTGTTTGGATGATTCTCCTTTTTCACCCTTGTTGGGGTATAAAAATAACTTGGAAGGTAGCCCTGACTCTTGCTTTTTCTGTGGTATCTCTGGTTTGGCATCACCTTCTGAGGATAATTACTCAAACATAGCTTTTTCCTGAGGATAAATTTCTGAGGACCAGGAAAGGGTTGGTATTTCAGAGTAGTTCAGGTCTGGCTTAAAGCCATCTCTCTCGATTGCCTCATAAGCAATTGTCTTCCCCTTGTCCAATGTGCGTTTCTTCGGGGGTAGTACTGCTGACCCCAAGAAACCCAAATTGGCTCGGAATGAGGCTTGACATAATTTTGCTTCCATGGTGGCTTTCAAATTTTTTACTCTGAACTCTGTTTGGTGGATTGTATTGTGGGGTGAGGAAGAGGGTTGAAAATCAAGTATTTATTGACAAGATGAAATTATTTGGTATCCATCCTAATGAATCTGTAAAGGTGTGTAATCAACTAAATACATGAATCCTCTTCATTATACTACTACAGATTTTTAAAGCCTTGACTTGATTATTTCACATTTTACATGATACTGTATTATCCAAGTTATCCTTCTGAGTTGTGATCATGATCCTATCTTTACTTTTCTATGATATTATTTCACATTTTAAAGGTTTTACATGATTTCATTCCATATTTGCCGATCATTTCCTTTTTTATGGTGATTTTTCCCTTTTTTAGGGATTACTATTTATACTATTTTTTATTTTTTTTTTGAAAGAATTACTTATACTATTTATTTGTCTTATTTGCCTTTTTGCACTATTTTAGTTAAAGGTTTTTTTTTTTGTTTTTTTTTTGTTTTTTTTTTGAGGTAAATTAAAGGAAAAAGATATATGTACATAAAAAAAACTAAAAATGGAAAGAATTGACAATTAATAAATACAGAGTATTTATTACACAGATTTACTCGTGAATTGTCGATAAATTCCCAAATTAATACTACAAAATGAAGTATATTAAATTATTATATGCAGCCCTCATTACCCTTTTTAATAGTATTTAATAGTATAGTGTATATAGTATGTTTATTCAATACTTTTATAGTATAACTAGAATTGTGCCCCGTATAATAATGTCCGAGTTGTTTATTGAATTTTAAGATCAAAATATATTATTGATACAAAATTAGTAAGGAATTGATGTTCTTTTATAATAATTTGTTATCTAGTTGGCATGTAATGACTAATAATAATGTTGGTGGAAATATTTAATTTAATACATTAAAAAATAAAAAATAAAATAGCAAATAAAATAAATGTTCAAAACCCATTGGGTTGACCCAAACCCAAAACTTTGGGCAAGGGTTGAACATTTCTTGACTCGTAACCTAAAGTGATCATATCCGAGATGACTCACGAGTCATGACCCGGCTCTGATTGCTCTCCATAGTAATAAAATTCTATTAGATTGTGAAGTATATTTTTCTAACCGATTAGTATATATGATAAATGGACATTTTACGCTTTTTTGAATAAAATTATAATTAAATTTGTACCTTTAAAATATTGGTATTTTATTGAAAATAAAACTATAAACCAACAATTTTATCCTAAAATCTTATCCAAATAAAATTCTAAATTAACTTTTTTATCTTATTAAATCTATTTAAATCTATCCAATGTGTCGCCAACTTGGCGAAAAGTTGGTTTATACAAGTATCGCTACCTCCTCACCTGGCTAAAAGTTTAGCTTTATATATTAGTTAGTGTGCGACATTAAAGCTAAATCGACTATTTTCCTAGATGATTAAACAATAATTTTTCTTCAAAGAGGTCAAGGGTTCAAACCTTTTCATTCATATGTTTTTTTCAATATAGTTGAGGCAACATCAAGTATTGTTGGCGATGCGGATGATGTGGCATATTGAGGAGTTGAGTGGGAGACGTGGCGTAGTGAGGAGTTTACGTGGCGTAGAGACATTTTTAGGAACGTCTTTTAATAAATTAGTATAGATATTTGACTCTAAGCGGTCACCTTTTGGCTAAATTTTAGTGGGTGAACGCTTAATTAATGAAAAATTAAACACGCTTTTGGCAAGTGGGAATTGAGGGTGGGATTGGGAATTTTGATCCCAATTGAAAAAATAAGCCTTGTTTGTTTGGTGGGAATGAGAATAAAAAAGGGCTTGGGAATGGGAATATTTATGGGTGAATTCCCACCATTTTATTACCTAGGGAGGGTAGGTAATAGATGGATGGGAATGGGAATAGGGGAAAATGACATTTTTGCCATTAATGAAAAGAATGAAATAATAATCTTAGTAAGGGTATTTTTGTAAAATTGTTATTTATTCCCTATATATTCTCACCCACTATCCAAACAAGATATTGACATATTTTCATGTATTCCTATCAATAAATTCTCATCCCATTCCCACCTTTTAATCCCCAAACTCCCATTCCCACAATCCAAACGCCATAATAGAAAGATTGATTCCATTATAGGGTAAACACTTATAAAGATAAATATCGGCATAAGAAAAATTAGACAAAAGTAGAAAGATCAATTGTTGCAAATTGTAGAGAATTTTGGTTAAAAAAATTGATATTAATGTTATTTGAAAAAAGCAAATGGGATTATCATTTTGGGATTTAAAATTGGCCATATGAGACTATCAATATGGAATGGAGGGAGTACAATTAAAATGATGTTTTAAAAAAAATAGATAAAATTAAATTAAATAAGATGTTCTAATAAATTCAAATTTGACGTGATAAATTTAGTAGAAATAAGTACACGGTAGTAAATTTAAATTTGACATGAATAAATTTAACTGTAATTTACTTAATACAAGCACGTTGTAATTAATTTAAACCATTTAATTGTAAATTTACTAAATACAAGTACGTTGTAGTAAATTTACTAAATACAAGTAAGCTATAATAAATTTAATTTAAATTTATTATAACGTACTTGCATTTAGTAAATTGCAGTTAAATTTAATCACGTCAAAAATGAATTTATTAGAACATCTCATTTTAAACGTCTTTGTAATTCTTGATTCATAAATGCCAAAGTTATCTATTTCAACCCCCACCCCCCTTCTCTTTAATTAAAACAACCTTAAATCGTGATTCAATTTCACTAAGCAACATGCAACTAAACGAATCCAATCAACCCTTTTTGGGCCGACTCATAAACATAGCATAACCAAGATAGCCCACATAAACATAATACAATTCCAATTTCCAACCAAAATTCACATCTATACTACTATTATAAAATCCAGTGAAAAAGAACTGATAATAAATAAATATTTATTGCATATATAGCATTACCCTAAATTTAATGAGTCGATCAACAACACGACACAACTCACAATATCGATCATTTCCAATCCAATCGCGTTTTCGCGTATAAATAGGTCTCGTTTGGTTTAATGTAAAACATTTTCAATTGAAAATTGGTTTTCATGGAAAACATATTTTCAATTGAAAATTGGTTTTCATGGAAAACATATTTTCAAGGAAAAACACAATTGCAAATTAGTTTTCCTTTGTTTGGTTGCATACAAGAAAAAAAAAAAAAAATAAGAGTGGAAATGTAAAGATGAATGAGAGGAAAGTAAAAAAAAAAGAGGTAAGGAGGAGAGAGGAAAATGTTGTTTTGGGAAGGAAAATATTTTCCGTCATTAAGAATGGAATTTTCCACCCTTGAAAAAATTGTATTTCCACCCCTTAACAAACCAAACAAAGGAATTAGAAAAAATGGAAAATTCATTTTGCATGAAAACCTTTTACATCAAACCAAATAAGGCCTAATTTACGCGGTAAAACTTATATCCTTACATCGTGTTATACTTCCCGAATCTAATACGGAGTAAATGTCTCACGTCTCATAATTTAATACGGTATTAGTACAAATGAACGTATCTTCCTCCTGCTCTCCTCTCTCACTTTCAGAGTTCTCCATTGAATCGCACTTGACGTTCTCCATTGATGCGCCTTCTAATTCTTGTATCCTCCATTGAAGCAGTTTCTGAGGTAATTTGTTGTTTCTTTTTGTAATTATCATATCAATTTCAAAATCTAGGGTTTATCTTTGTTCAAAAATCTCAACTATTGATTCTAATTACTAATTTAAGATCATGACCTGCGATTATATATGTTGTTAGAAAAGAAAATTATGAGTTTTATTTGATAATCGAATCAAATATCTCTAAAAATTTTAGCCTAATTTGATAATTGAATCAAATTTCCCTAAAATTATGAGCTTTTTTGATAATTGAATCATATATCCCTAAAATTATCAGCTTAATTTGATAATAGAATCAAATTTCCCTAAAATTATGAGCTTTTTTGATAATTGAATCAAATGTGGTTGCTAATGTATTGCAGAACCCTTAAATGTTAAGATTGAGTTATGAATTTGGACCTCTTCTCTCTCCTGCCCTGGCTTAGGGACGAGCCTGGGTAAAACAGATCAAATTATTTTCTAGGTATGATTTTTTTTTTTTGGGTAATTTTTGAGTAAGATTTGTGTTGATTTATTATTTTTTATCCCAATTTAAGTTTAATTTTACTTGTGAAATCTTGAAAAATCACAAGAATATAATTATATAGAACCAATGAATGTGAGAAAGTGTTAAAATTAGTGCAATCTAACAATAATTAGAGGATTACAATTTTTCAAAAATATAAGACATTTGATATTCTCAGGGCTCGATTCCTTTTGATTTCCTTCCTCGTTATTCATTAAAACCAGTGTCAAAACTCAAAATAGATGAATGTAAAGCATATATAGAATGTGACAAATTTGGAAACATGAAAAGTAATTTTTGTTAGGAAAAGGAATGTTTTCTTCACATTCTAATTGTGACAATTATTTTTCCTAACTTGGCCTTTTACTGTTATATTTCTCAAGAAACGTTGACAAATATTACTACTTTCTTGTAATAAATGAACCCATCTTATTAATCATGCCCATATTGTTTTTTTATCATTCATTGAGACTAAGCTACATTAAAGATCTAGGTCTTGAATTTTTTCTTACTTTCAAAACAGTAGACTTAGGTAAAAATTATTTTATCTTCTCATGCAGCATAGAAACAGCTTGAACATTGAATTGAAAAGAAGGATCTCTTGTTCAGGCCGGTTATGAATGGAGATTTTTGTGTAGGTTGCTTAGATTTAACCTCTCAAATAGTTAAAAGTGCTTAGAGGGAGGCGATGTACATCTAGAGCTCCTTGAATCCTATCTTAACAGGAATTACACAGCATTGCTCATATAAGATCAGGATCTTAGTATTTATTTGATATTATAGGATCATGACTAGTTAGAACCATTTGCTGGTATGTGTGATATTCACATGTCTTTGAAGTTCAGGTGATTTTTATTTTATTTATCTAATTATCTATTTTTATTTTTGAGGGAAAGTTGTGGTGATTAAGTTAAAAGAAATTCAAATATTACTATACTAGTGTCGAGCAATTCGACGTCATCGTGTGAGATGTTTGGTACTCATTTTTGCTAGTGTGTGTAGTATTCACGAGTCTATTAAGTTGGGGGTTATTGTTTCCTTTGGTAATTACGATCAAAATAAATTATTTAATAATGAATTTGATTTCGTCCAAGACTCAGTCTTTAATTACATATCTCTTCCTTAGGATAGCATGTCCTTTGACTTCACTTTAAGATGCATTATTGTCATAATTGTGTCCAATACATTTTCTCAAACTGTTACTTGTGACGTGGCACCTTTATTTTTATTTCCTTATTATCTATTTCTCTCACATATTTTGATTTGGTGAATGGGGATTATTAGGGGACTATTAAGTACCTCCTCTCTTGTAAAAAAAAAAGTACCTTCTCTGATTTTTTTTTTACTCGACTTACTTTGACTCTTACATTGTTCATACACGCTCATTTGACCGTCTTTCATGAATTATATGCTAGGAAAAGCATATTATGTTATTAAAATCGTCTAAAAAAAATTACTATCACAATTTCTGTTTTTTACTTATTGATAAATAAAATTATTGAAGGATAAATTTATGCATTGGTAAACATGATAAATGAAATAGTTCAAGTAAAAAAGAACGAAGGAAGGAGGAAGTATCAATATAATCTTTTCTTGTAAGTTAATATATGATTTTCGGTGTTATATATCGCATGTATATCATTTTTGATCCGCTAACATGTAGAAGGATAAGTTTGATATCAATCTTTAGCTAAGAAATGGAATCTGAAATTCTAAGAGGGCTCAAAATGGGCCGCATGGCCGCATGGCTACAAAGTATGATAATTTGGCATACATCTTAGCAAAGTAATGGGCCGCTACATGTATTGATTTTATGATAATTTGGCATACATCTTAGCATACTAATGGGCCGCATGGCTACATGTATTAATTTATTTTAAGATAATTTGGCATACATCTTAGCAAACTAATGGGCCACATGGCCGCATGGCTACATGTATTAATTTTAAGATAATTTGGCATAAATCTTAGCGAACTAAAGTTTAATTGACACAACATCACCGGTAGGAAAATTGGTATGCCTAAACATTTAGCTAGAGTATATGGCTGAAATTCATGTCCAAAGTTTTAGGGTGAGATCAAGTTCTGGTGTTTTTTTTTTGCTTGTTCTCAAAGGACATAGTGAGCCAAGTTGGCTCAACACACTGTTTCTTTGCAAGGCCTTCATCATTCTGCCTTGCTTGCAAAATAGTTGTGATGTTTGGAGCAGCAGAAGGATCAAAGGTTGTGGTCACTCTGGGGCTTAATATGGGATTTGGAGCATTGACACAAGGGCTTGGCCACCCCGGTTTGTATGCAGGATCAACGGCCTGCATCATAGAGGATGGCCTCATGAACCCATCTAGGGATTGAGAAAAATCGGATGGAGCCTGGTTAAGATCCATTTTAGGGTTACAGTTAACTGGCCTTGGCTGCCATCCACTGTGGCCATTTCCATGGTAAGGAGGATGCGGGAATTGTTTTCCATAGTCGGGATCCTGAAGCAGAGGTACCCTTGCACGATAAGAGATTGGATTTTCGGCATTTCCCTGTGCTTCTTTCATTGCTTGCTCCGTCTTCCTCTCTTGCTTGTGTACTGTTGAGTGGGCGCGAAGCGCCTCTGTAGTCGGGAGTCTCAGGTAACAGATTTTGCAGACTATGGGATATTGACTTGGAGGTGCAGAGGCAGGCAAAACATAACCAGAGAGGTGTTTGGATGATTCTCCTTTTTCACCCTTGTTGGGCTTTTTCTGTGGTATCTCTGGTTTGGCATCACCTTCTGGGGATAAATATTGCTTAATCATGGCTTTCACCTGACGATGAATTTCAAATTTTATGGCCGGGGAAAGGGTTGGTATTTCAGAGGAGTTCAGGTCTGGCTTAAAGCCATTTCTCTCGAATGCCTCATAAGCAATTGTCTTCCCCTTGTCCAATGTGCGTTTCTTCGGGGGTTGTACTGCTGACCTCGAGAATTTGGCTCGGAAGGAGGCTTGACCATTGTTTGCTTCCATGATGGCTTTCAAAATTTTTACTCTGAACTCTCTCTGGTGGATTGTATTGTGTTGTGACTTGTGAGGAAGAGGGGGTCAAAATCAAGTATTTATTGACAAGAAAAAATTATTGCCCTACACCCATATATGGTATGTATCCTGATGAATTTGTAAAGGTGTGAAATCAATTAAATACAAAATCATGATTTTATCTATGTAATCTTTTATTATTATCTTATCTTAGCTTTTCTATGTTGGAGGAAATAAATGAAATTGAGATGTGTTTTTAATTTTTTAAGGTTTTCCATTATTTCATTCCATATTTGCAGATTCTTTCTTTTTTATGTTGATTTATTTCCTTATTATGTTGATTTATTTCCTTATTTAGAGATTACTACCTATACTATTTATTTGTCTTATTTGCCTTTTACACTATTTTAATTAAAATATCTCAAATTACGTATTATAAGAAATTATAAAAACTACTCCGTAGTATTATAAGAACTAGCACATATTTATAAACTAAAAAGTGAGGCAAAATTTAAAAGGACAAAGATGTAAACATTAATTAACTTTTTAAAATTTTTGTAACAAGAGAGCATTATAGTCATTTTCCATTACTCCAATTCCTTAAGACATTACCAAGCAAAGTTTGGTGGAGTTGGTGGGGAACTTACCTTGTGACTGTGAGGTCACGAGTTCAAGCCCCACTAACTACAAAATGCTTCGGAGTAGGGGGATTCTCTTACCTCCCCATCTACTCTCAAGTGACGACCTGTGGACCTGGGTTGGTTAAACCTGTGAGATATCGGTTCAGTAGAATACTTCTTACCTTTAAAAAAAAAATAATAATAAATTGCTCGTACACTCACCACTTAATTATAATAAAATATGTCCTTGTCAAAAACAAATTCATTTATTTGAAGTACGTGAGAGTGCGGGATTTGTCCTAGCTCTAGGAAAACTTATTATCGATTGTCATCACTTGCTCTTGTGGCTCTAAACGTTACTAAAAAAATAGTACAATATTATCAAATACTACATTTGATTTATATTTTGGGGAGTATTGCTTTTCAAAATCAGATTGTATGAAACCCACTTGGATAATGTTACTAGTTTGATATTATACCTTTTCATCTTCATAGTACGAAGTATGTAACACTATACCAGGGTAATCATGTGTGTAAATTATGACGTATGAAAAATTGGAAATATAATCTATACTCCGTACATAAGAGTACGATTTTACGATGCGAGTATATCAATGAATCCAATGATAGATAATGACGAAGATCATTAAATAAATCGGTTTTTAAAATGATATTCCCGTACTACGTACGGAATATTAATTACTGTAGTCATTTTATATGGCAGAGCATAAGGTGTATAATCCGTACAACACAATTAATCAAGTGAAACGAATAATTTCGGCATTTAAGTGAAAATAAAATGTTTTACGGAGTAATAAATTTATTTTTGACGTGATTAAATAAAATGGTTAATTTATTAAATTCAAGTACGTTATAATAAATTTAATTAAATTTATTACATCATACTTGTATTTATAATACTCCCTTTGTTCCAAAAAGAACGACTCATTTGGTCAAAACTTTGTCCCTACAAGAATGACCCATTTGCATTAAAACACCACCAATTTGCAACAATATTTGTGCAAAATTAGCTTCCCCATGTAAAAATTTGATTTTCCATGTTATTTTATTACTTTCTCTATCTATTTTTTTATAAACCCCATGTAAATTTATCTTTCCAATATACTTTTACTTCTTTTTACTTAACTTCCTAAATACCCGAGTAATCAACCCAAATGGGTCGTTCTTTTTGGGACGGAGGGAGTATTTATTAAGGCACAACAAAAAATATAATCTAAATGCCTTTATTTGTATGTCAAGATATAACATAATTAAGACGTAAAATGAGGCAAATATGATTTATTTTTTTTTTGGCTGATTTTGGGTTCAGATTGGACTCTTTTAAACTCAAATGACTCCTAAAATCTTACTTGACTAATGTTCGCAACATAGAAAATGACATGGAAATTGAGATATTTAATGACACGCAAAAGGAGTCATTTATTTTATTTTTATTTTTATTTTTCTTATTTTGAGCTCAATTTGAACCCTTAAAGACTAAAATAACCCCCCAAAAACTTAACAGGACATTTTCGGCATGCAAATCAAATAATAAAAATTTAATTATATTAAAAAAAAAAAAAAGGTTCACTAGCTCTAACGAGAATAGTGGCCAAAAAGTTTGCTAAAGGCACACTTTGCACCCAAGTCATTAGTTTGTAGTGTTTTGACTATTATGTAAAGTATAGGGTGTTGAACGCACCCAAGCCCATAGTTCAGAATGTTGAAGCCAATTTTGCCTTTTAAAGATTATTACGGAGTAGATTGACATAAACACAACTCTGGACCAATTAAAGGATTGTTCAACACATTGGATATAAAACTTTTACCCTAATTATAATTATACTTCAAAAATATTGCTAAATTCAATAAAGAAAGTTTAATTTTAAAGGATACTTGGTGAAATATTTTTTTATGTACAACCAATTGCATAGTACAAGTATACAACCAAAGCTTTCTCCATTTTATGGAGTACAATATGCGGACAAATTTACTTTCATAGAAAAGATAAATCAACTACCTCTTATACCACTTCAGCAAAATGCTAGTAAACTGAAGATATGGTTCTCTTTGCATTGTCTTCAGAATGCCTAGCTCCTAAACAGCTCGTCTCTATAAAACAACAAATTGAATATCAAATGTTTTTGCTTCATCATCACCTCATAGCCACAGTCCTCAGCCATCAGCAAATCTTCACTGTTCCAACAAACAAGCCCGATGCATAAATGCAAAGAACAGGATGTCAAAGATGTTACCGAAAAGGCGAAAAGTATAATTTGCCAGGAAACACTGCATAGTCCATCAACAAGGGAGCAGCTGATAAAATGAGCATTGTGCTAATAAATCCTCTCAGCAGTAGTGACTGGACGCAGAAACACCACGATCACCGTGATGTTGTCCTTGCTTCCGCGTTGTACAGCTTCTGTTGCTAATCTTTTGGAGCACATACTAGGTTCTTTAACTGTGTCCCTAATTATGCTCACAACTTCTTGATTGCTTATCACATCCCATAATCCGTCACTAGCCATGACCTAATGATTCAGCAAACAAAAAAAAAACGTAGGCCAAGTAAGTTATTCGGAGTATATACTCATCATCTGCACATCCGCCAAGAATTTTTTTTTTCTTATTTTCTTATTAAATAATTATCTTAGCTAGTTTAGACTTATCATATTGTTAACTAGTTAAGGGGTAACTAGTTAAACTACAGAGTATTGTGCAGCAACTTTATATGATCCGTATTATGTTTAGAGACCTTTTTTTGAGGGGGTGACTAGTTATATTCTTGAGATGCTTCTTTGCTAGTGTTCCTTTCCATGCCTGAGATCAATTGCATCTAAGACCAGTTGATGCAGATGTGGGTGTGACAAAAATAACATTAATTATGACCATGAAGCATTTTATGTCTGACAAGGCAATTCCAGATGATAGTACCAACCTAAATGAACAGTTGAACACTTCAAACTGTATCCATTTTGATGGTCTAGAGTCTAGACATTTCATTTTTGACATCTATAACACATTAACATTTGACCAACAAAACAAAGAGATTATGAGAAATGAGACAGAAGTCACAGAATGCTTATGTTAATAGTCCATTTGTAAATATTGTATTCATATTTTATTGTATGAACAAGCCAAACAATTTATATACTGTAATTTTTTGTAATTGTTCTTTTATAACATCCACAAATCCACAATGAACCATTACAAATTAGTCAAGGCATGAAAGCCTAGGATGACTAAAAAGACATTGAGCAATACGCATTCCATAGCTTGCAAAGAGACATGAGAGACACCACTGCTTATTTACTGTTTTAACCCATAGTGAGGTTGAATAACACTCATCAGTCATCAACTTTGAAAGAAATCTTTTTAACAACTATAAACACTTGACATTAAGCAGATCGATTCCAATTTCATAAATTTCGAACAATTGTTGAGACAATTGTGTTAGAACAAAGATGGATAAAGTTAAAAAAAAAAGAGAGAAAAGGTTCAAAACTTTATTTCAAGATATCTTAAATGCAGAAAAGCCTCTGGCATAAAATAGAATAATCTCTATTCAAAATAAGAATTTGCATAGCTGCAGAGATTATAGCTAGTGATAAAACACCAAAATACATCTAAATACTGAAAACGACAGAAATAATAATGAGCAAGAATTGTGAAGGTCAAAGCTTGTAAAGATAATGGACCTTACCAGGTATTCATCTTCTAAAGATAAACCTGTCTCTGTAATCTCAGGTTCTGCAGTCACGGCAGGTTTAAGATCATCATCACCAATGGAGCGTGTAACCTTCACAAAACAGGGGAAAATTAGCTATTCTCAACTTCTATGTGTACCCTATTCCTATCAAGATTATCTCATTCCAAAAGAAAAAACTATAAAGAGAGCAAACAAGCACAGCAGAAACACGTCAGAAACAGCCAAATTCATTGCTTCTGATTAGATGTCAACAGCAAAACAGAAACTGAGTTATTCTATATCACCCAGGTAATGAAGATCATCATATTTCATGGTCACTGTATGTTTCCCTTTACTTTTTTCCTGTGAGTAGCCAGCTGGCTATCATAAGCAATTAAGCAGGTTGAAATCTGACTTGTATACTTTACTGATTAAGAGAAAATTTCAAGGAAAAGCTTGGAAATTTGATTACAGAGATTAATGATTTCTTACAAAAGGTAGTAGGTTTAGCCAACAAATCTCATATTTTAGTGACTTGAGGTCGCAACTCTCCTAATAGTGACTTAAGGTCACAACTCTCCCAAGGAATCACTCCAAAATTCTGACTGCCTTCTGCTTTTGCCCTCTCTATCTATTTATACTAAAGCTAAGGACTATAAACCTAATAATACTAGACTACCAATATTCCCATAGGTTAATCTATTACACAGGTCCAATAAGTTATGTGAATAAACAATGACGGCTCACCCTGTACAGGAGCCCCGACATATATACATAAGAATATGGCTTACACCATACTACATATGTAACACTAGTATTCCGCAGATAAGTTCTCTATAAGGAGCAAATTAACCTAGCTATTAAGAAGAGAAGATCC